TCATCACCACCACCACCACCACCATCATCATCATCATCATCATCATCACCACCACCACCACCACCACCATGGGTCTATTAGGCCACATACTCGTCCAGGAAAATCCGCGGTAGACAACAGCCGACTACATTACACCATCACACCTTCCCTCAACAGCAACTCACCGGACACCATCATCACCCACCTCCCACGCAAGCGGAAAGTATGCATTTCGACGCCTTCCCCATGCGGCTCCCCACTGCATGTGTGATCGGAGTGTGCGACGCAGGCGGTGCGTCGAGCGCCCTGGCTCGGAAGGCAGCCGACTGACGCCCCAACTCAATCCACGCAGTCCGTCCAGTTGTCGTGCGTGTTGTGTAGAGTGGCGGACTGGTGGGCTGATAGCCAGGCTGTCACGGTCCCTTCTCACGCCATTTGTGACACTCTCATGTATGTGAGGAGTGTGTGTGTACTTTATGGGTGGTGCCTCTCAGTCGCTGACCGTTTGGTTACCCAACCTTGAAGGGTGACGGCCCAGGCTAAATGCGGGATCATGTGTCGCCCTTCTAGGTCAAAAGGACCGTAAGCGTGTGCAACGCCAGTATCAACAAACCACGGCCATCGCAGCCTGGTATGCGCTGAGACTGCCCTGGCACCTAGTTCCCTGCCGGTAGATGCGCCTGAGCTCCCGCTGAGTATGCAGGTGATTGGCGTGGCTGCCCAGTCATCATCCTCGTCCTTCTGACCCCTGTTGGGGTGTTGCTGTTGTTGGGGGTAAATTCGGGTCAAGAATATGTTGTGGACCAGGGGATATGGTGGCACACCAAGGTGCGGGTCTGACCGTGCCATCCACCTGAGCCCTCCCCCGACTCCGATCTTCTTGACTCTGTCTTGACACCGGATCCAGGTGGGGAGTGGGGAATAGAGGGTGCGGTAGGTTCTGCGCAAGTCCGCTATCACTATAAACTAATTCACGCGCAAGTCACCGTGTCCGCTGCACCTTGCTGTATAGCACACGGTGGACATCGTCGGAATCGACGGTCGAACCGTCGGTCAGTCCAGACGGACAACTTCCTGGTTGTTGTTCCCACACATTAACTGATTAGGCTTATTTTCTGGCAAGCCGTGCATATTGTAATACAACGCTGTCCCGACTGTCAAAGCACCGTTATGGAGGCTTGGTCCCCGTACGAAGAGAACCTGAGGCAGGCCGTTTCAAGCAAACCACAACCGACAGGAATGCAGGCCGTTAGGCTGTAAGTGGGAACATTAACCATCTCGCTGTCGGTCTTGACAGCGGCGTGGT